GGGGTAGACGCCAACAGCTGGCATGTGACTTGTGTGTTGTCTCTGAAACTGAAATATCCTTGGCTGTGCTTTTGGATGACGCAGAATCTAAAGATAGATTTGCGTCTCACGGGCACTTGATTTACAGTAAGTAGTACACTGCAACTGATCCCTAAAAATCGTAACGAATGACTAAGTTCTGTTTCGATAATCCGTCCCAATAATCCGTAGACATTTAATTACGGGAATGAATAATCCGTGACTGAACGTTTTCTACAACCATGCCTATCATTTTGATCTACTAGGGTAACCACCTTTTGTGAACACCATTTCTACGTCATTTTGCTGAGATTTTTGGTCAAATTTCAGTCTGCCGGGTTGTATCTCTGAAAGAAATAGAGCGGGTGGTTGGAGGGCGTCGCTTCTTTACTGTCCCGCTGTTGTTTCTGTCCGTCTTTCCTTTTCCCAGCACTCAATGGCCAGTATTGTGTCGATGTGCTTCTCTTTACTCAAACAAACAAACAAGCAAACCCGAAGTAGATTGCTCCGTGGGCCACTCACATACCCTCACAGGTAGCCTGACACTAAAACTACACTGTCAGCAAATGAATCTTATGGATAAAGTTTGCTTCCAGTTAAAAACAGGAGAAAAAAAGTGGGACGTTTGCCAATAAGCGTTTAAAATACGGGAGACCTCAGCAATATACACAGTGAAAAGTTGTTATGAACTTTTAAGGCAATATTTATGTTAAATATTAAAATTGATATTTCACTGTTACTCCTAACTACTATCAATACAGTATAATATAAACCCTAAATAAAATGGAGCATGTTTCCACAAACTCCATTCCGTTCCAAATTCCAAGATTTAGAGATGGGCGGACAGAGATGAAAGATGGAGAGAGAGAGAGAGAGAGAGAGAGAGAGAGGGGGACTGCGGGAGGTTGGGGGTAGGGGTGAGAGTGGAAGAGAGTCTGTGCTGTATATATATATATTATATTGTATGTGCGCGCGCGCGTGAGTGTATGCTCATTTTGTATGTTTATTATGTTTATATCAAATTATCACCTTAACTCTGTTCCAAGTTGAAAAAGAGGCTGTTACTCCGAAGATATAACTTGAAATTCTTTGGCCTCCTTTTGATCATGTCATCCACAGGCTTCTGTTCTTGACCCAAATTCGGGTTATTTATGTTTGCTTACACTATCGTTGGCACGTGGAAATGTTTGTTGATTTCATATTTTGCCCTTCTTTTCGGTTTTGTTTCTTCTCTTGGTCATTCTTTCTTCCTATTCATGGAGGGTTGGCGGTTATGGCGCTGTTAGTTGCGAACTCGATCTGCTCGGAGACGTTTGAGAGTTACGTCCTTGCTGGCCCTTTTCCGGCCTCCCAAGACAGTGTTCTGACTAATTTAATTTACACCCCATTCGACACAATCTATGAAGTGGCGGATTCGACCCTGACATATCACTGCCAATGCCAACGGGCTGACAGAGGGACACAAAGTCCCAGTAGAAAGATCGAGTTGAGAGATACTCGATAAAAATTCTCCCCACACGCAAATCTATCTG